CACGAACATCCACCCACTGGGAAACGTCTCGACATCACGAACACCCTCACTACCGGGGATTAGCGCTGTAGATACGCGCTGACCGTCGGGAACGTTGGTAAAGCAAACAAAACGACGCCAGGCGGACGTCGTAGACGAGCCTGAATGATTCGTCGGGGTCAACATTGAGAACTCCCTTTTCAAACCGCAATGCTGATCAGAGGGAGCTTCCGGGTTGCTGTCACAAGAACTACGTTCTCGAACATCGTCTTCTTCGTGTTGTCGTGACGGTGGCGGTGGCGTGACACAGTGGACGGATTGGACAACCATTTGAAGACGATTCACAAGAAAATTGTACAACAAGAAAATCACGTCAACGAATTACGAGGTCAGGGAAATAAACAAGATGGAGCAAACTCACATTTCAAATATTTATCACAAAACAATGGAACAACAACATTTGAATCCATATCGTTTTGTCGGACCCTGATGTGAGGCTCAAGTGGTATCTCAAGTCTGACTTCTCACCCACTCCTTCAGTGTGCAAGTGGTTTGGATATGTCCGAGTAAACTCGCACTTTTTTAGGCGAGAGTACAAATGCGAGCTGATTCGGACTTATTCAACGTACAGTAAGAAATTAAATTCATGGTCGGAACAACACCGAACACAAGTGCGAGTCGATTCGGTACTTTCCACTAAACAGCAAAAAATTTCAAGTGCCAAAAAATTTGCACTTCAGAGGAACATTTCGATTACGCCGTGCAATAAGAAATTGCCTTCGTGGTTGGTTCAGTGGCGAGTTGACTCGCAAATACAAAACGACTTATTTCTTTTGGGCCGAGAAGATACCCGAATTATCGACCAAAGAGGAACAAATTTAGGGGGATGGATGGTTGAAGAGCGAATAAATTCGCACTTGCAAACGAGCATTTCCATTATGAAACTGGGGCTTGTGGACTAAAGAGTCAAAAATTTGGGGGGATGGTTGGTTGAAGAGCGAATAAATTCGCACTTGCAGACGAACATTTCCACTATGAAACTGGGACTTTTGGMYTGTAGAGTAAGAAATTTARGGGGATGGTTGATTGAAGAGCGAATAAATTYGCACTTGCAAACGGGCATTTTCATTACGAAACTGGGGGTACAAGTGCGAGTTAATTCTGACCTATGGACTAAACAGTGACAAATTAAGGGGTTGGTTGGTTCAAGAGCGAATAAATTCGCACTTGTAAACGAGCATTTCCATCACGAAACTGCGGGTACAAGTGCAAGTTGTTTCCGGCTTGTTCTGCGTGTAGTACGAGCCACAGATCGTCGCAAGAAAGAAATAGGGAAAGATGGCGTGCTATTTTTTAAGATGGAGAAAGATTGCGAAGCGATGGGCAAACGGCGCATCGATGAAAATACGTGGACAGAGATGGCGCACCGAATGAGAGAGATGGCGCACCAAGAGAGATGGATGGAGTCACAGTCTTCCCCCGAATACAACGTCCGGTCATTACAGCTCAATTCGGGTCATCTTTCAGTCTAAAGACAACTGTAATGAAAGTGCGTTGTATATTCCGGGGAAGAAGGTGGATGGCGCAGGAAGGGAAAGAGATTGCGAACTGATTAGGAGGTGTGCCGCAACGAGAGAGAGAGATTGCGCACCGATGGAGAAACATGGCGCAGCAATGGAGATAGCAGGCGCAAGGATGGTTAGCGATAGCACAGCAATGGAGAAAGATGGTGCACCGAAGCAGATAGATGACAATGGACATAGATTAGGAAAGATAGCGCAGCGATGGAGATAGATGACGAAGAAGATAGATTAGGAAAGATAGCGCACCGAAGGAGATGGATGACGAAGGAGATAGATTAGAAAAGATACCACAGCGATGGGGATGGATGACGAAAGGTCGGTAGAAATCGCGCATCGGTGGAGAGAGATGGAGAGAGGACGCACAACAATGGTTAGCGATGCCGCAGCGATGGAGAGAGAAGGCACAACGATGACCAAGAATTGTTATTGCACAACATCAGTTCCATTGAGTTAAACCTTCGTTAAGCATACCTGTCACCTATTTCGTGCGATTCCACAGTGATGGGTGGCTGCACCGACGACGGCCTGAAACAACAATACAATGGCGATGCCAGGATCTCGCACGAGTAATGGAGAGCCTCTTGGGCAAGGATGGAGGTTGCCCGGTTGTCGAGAGAGATCGCGCAGTGATGGAGTGAGATGGAGAGCGGTCACTCAACGATGGAGGGAGATCGTGCGGCGATGGAGACAGAAATCGCGCAGCGCTGCGGAGGGATAACACTGGCCAGGGCTTCGATAGCGATGGCCAGCGCTGCGGTGGAGAGCGATGACGCACCGGTGGAGAGCGATGGAGCGGCGATGGAACGCGTTACAATGCAGCAATAGCGATAGCGATGGCAGCGATGGAACATCGATAGCGATTGCGCAGCGATGGCGCACCGGTGGAGAGCGATGGCGCAGCGATGGAACAACGATGGAACAGCGATAGCGATGGCGCAGCGATGGAACAGCGATAGCGAAGCCAGCGATAGCGATAGCGATGGCGCACCGATTAAGAGATGGCGCAGTGATGGAACCAACGTTGCGATGGCAGCTATGGTACCAGCGTTGCGATGGCGCAGCGATGGCCAGCGCTGCGATGAGAGCGATGGCGATTGTCGGCGCTGCGATGGGGGATATAGCTTTGCGTCGCGATGGCGATGAGCTAAGCGCATCGATGGCGATGGTGCATGGCGAGCGTTGGCGATGGCGATGAGCTAAGCGCATCGATACGGATGGTGCATGGCTAAGCACATCGATATCGAACGCCGTTGACATTTGCAAAATGTCCGAATCACAGCGACACCGGAACTTATAGATTTCCGGTGTTTTTGACCTCGGCGCAGAACGAATCGCCGCGCCTCGGTGGAAAATTAACTGTCGCCTGGCCTCGGCCCCCAACGAACCACCTCGGCGCACAACGAATCGCTGCACCTTATAGATTTTTGCGCCTTACCTCGTGTGTCGGATCATGTCGATCGACGGTCCAGATTACAACTGCGAAAATGACATTGTCTGCCCTTTGTTTTCGGGAACTGTCACATCATTGCACGCCGGAGTAGACGGAGATTTTGGGGTCCACTGGCATAACAGTGGCTCCGTTCATCTGCGCGGTTGAAAATTGTTGATCGACGACTGACAATTTTCGGTACCCCTTACCGTTTATAGGCCCTGGCGTTTTATGGGCCCAGGGGTGCAATACGCGAATCGATTCGGCCCCATCTTGATGGTGTTTTATGGGCCTAGGGGTGCGATATGCGAATCGATTTGGCCCCACCTTGATCCCGACGCGAGGCCTGCTGCAACAAAGTATAAAAGGCGTTGCAGCCCTCAAGTTATCCCTTTTGTTGGCGCTCCACAGATCAAGTCGCACTATCGCTTTCATGCGCGTTCTGATATTTGGTCTTCAGCCCCCACTACCTTCCGCCATAGCCCGCTCACTCTTCGCTCTTCGCTCCGTCCGCAGTTGCCACATTGTGTTCGGTTCGCTCTTCGCTCCCCGGTCTTCGCTCTTCCTAGCTCTTCTTCCTCACTCATAGCTGGTTCGGTGGTTGGTTGCTCGCTCAACGCACGATGAAGGTAAAATCATATAACTTGAGTTGTCCTATTCTGTGTCCGACATCCGAACACATTCCCAGATGCCCTGTCTATACCTGCAGGATATAACGCTGCAACCGCGTTCTGTTGAACCCTGAATCAATTCCCGGTTTTGTTGTTTCGCCAGTGGACGTGCTCTGATCTCTTTTCTCCACCCTCCACCTCCGTCTGCCATAGCCGATCCGCGTTCCGCAGCTCGATTACCTTTCGCCATAGCCACGATAACGTTCGTATAAAGCTGCTCGATTCCCTTCGCAAGTTGCAGTCGTCGTTGCGCATGGCGAACCCCGAATCAATACCTAGTTGCTACACTGAACACCGAATCAATTCCTGATTTTCGCTCACCTGTCCCTTGTGAGGTCGCCGACCTGATATCTACATATA